GCCCAACCACAGCTGCTGTAAGATAAAGTCTGCATCAGCTGTATCATGCCCTCAGGAAGCATCTCCCAACTCATCTCCCTAACTCCAGACTCTGACAGTCTTTCCACTCCATCCTCCACAGTGTTTCCTGAGCTTTAGAATGGGTAGTATATGTGCCCCATTCAGGGCCGAGCACAAAACTATTGATCATTCTAAGCATCGAGAGCACTCATCATTCACCAGCAGTCCCTCCTGAGAGAAGCTTCTCTGATGAAGGATGAGGGGAGCATTTGTCTGTGAGCACACTTAAGATGCACCTTGGGGCCACGTCAATTTAGCTCAGCCACTGTAGTGAAGTTCCCAGGAGAAAGTTTTACTAAGTGAGGTGACCCAGGCCAAGAAAACAAACCCACAGGTCTATCTGACAAATGGATCCTAGCTTTGAATCTTTAGTATGCATTTAACCTGGAGTGCTTGTACAAGCTAAAAAATAAAAAATTTAAAAATAAAAAAAAAAACAAACTGGGGGGCTGGAGAGATGGCTCAGCAGTTAAGAGCACTGCCTGTTCTTCCAGAGGTCCTGAGTCCAATTCCCAGCAACCACATGGTGGCTCAAACCATCTGTAATGAGATCTGGTACCCTCTTCTGGCCTGCAGGCATATATGTGACAGAATATTGAGAACACTGTACACATAATAAATAAATAAATCTTAAAAAAAAAAAAACTAGAGAGGCCCCACTGTGTGTTGGGGGGGGGTCAAAGGGAGAGCAGCCAGTAGAACATAGATGATTTGAAAAGAGAGAGAGGAAACACTGGAGGTGGATGGGTTCAGTTATGAATAGGGGTTGAGAGACGGGAGAAGAGGGAACAGGGAAAGAGGGTTAGGTGAACTGAAGGATACATGAAAAGTCGTATGTAAGCCAATTTTTTAAAAATGAGTTAAAAAACAGTTTATGAGAGAAGTCTGTATGGCTAGATAACACTGTTCCTAGAATCTACTGTTTATCAGAGAAAACTCCAACACTAGAGATGAGGTGTCTCTTTATATGGTCAGGGAGGCCCCAGAAGACCCCAAAACAACACAGGCTATTCCCATTCCTCTTGAGTACCCATCAGACCTAGACAATAAGACTGTGCTGCTTAAGATACCTTGGGTACAAACTATATAGACTACAACCTGGAACTGAATTGGAAGATTCCTCCCTGCCAGCTGGGTTTCATAATGCCAGAAGGTGCAATGCAGGCTGCTAGGGAATATAAAACACTGACGGTCTCTACCAGAACCCTACAACCTGCAATGCCAACCTGGCATAAATGTCCCTATGGTGCAATGGTGGCACGGTGTTGTGGGGGTAACCAACTGCTCTCAGCTTGGATTTGGGGCTGCTCCACAGGAGGGAATGGATACATGTGTGGCACTGTAAACATGGTCACACACAAAAGTTTCTGGAAATTTTTGAAAGTGTTACTACGGAGTTGTTGTTGTTTGTTTGCTTGCTTGCTTATTTGCTTGCTTTTAACCAAACTGAATCCTTTTCTCTCTCAGAATTACAGAACCAGTAACAAGACCAAACACCAACTGAGAAGCAAAAGAGATTTTATTCTTGATCAAGAATGGGAGACACAGGAAACAGACTTGAGAGTCAGTTTCTCAGCATGTTGGGAGTCAGGAGAAACATGGGGGGAAGGAGTAAAAAGAAAGGGTTGACTAATAAAAGAAAAGAGCAATCATGCATTTCTGAGAAGGAACAGATACTTTTCAAGAATTTGGTTAAAGATTTTATATCCACCAAGAGCCCAGGTCTGATGTCTGTCTGAATCAGTACACTGTTCGCTCCATGTATATCATATATGGTGTGTGTGTGTGTGTGTGTGTTTGTGTGTGTGTGTGTGTGTGCTGGGGAAGTAATGTGTACACTGGTGTGTGTGAGTGTGTGTGTGTGTGCTGGGGAGGTAATGTGTACACTGGTGTGTGTG